GACCATCTGTGATTCCCGTCTCAGAGGATCCAACACCCTCTCTTGGCCTCCTGGGGTACCAGGCACACACGGTATGCATTCACACATGTAGGCAAAACACTAGTGTACGCAAAATGAAATGGAAGTAGCCTTGGAGCTTGCAACTTAACTATGAAAAACAGAACAGTGGAGAAAAGCTGTAGGCAGCAACGTCAACCGGTGATTGTGTTGAGCTTTGAAAGAGCTATGGAGCCCGGGCTGCCACTCAATGGTAGAGGGCTTGACTAGCATTCATACACCCTTAGTTCAATCACCAGGAGGGTAAGGCTTTTGTTGTTTTGAGACTATTATATATTTTCTTCATTTCCCCCTTCCCTTTGTCCCCCCTCAAGCCCTCCCAAACACCTTCTCCTTGTTCTTTGTCGTGTTCATGGTCTCTTTTTCCACTACATGTTGTTACATACATACATATATAATCCTAAATACATAAACACAACCTGCTTGGTCTGTTTAATGTTATGTGTATATATGTTTTCAGGACTGATCATCTGGCATTGGATAACCAATTGGTGTGCTGTTCTCTGGAGAAGACTATTTCTCACACTCTCAGCATTCTTGAGTTGCCTGTAGCTGGTTGTGTAGGGCTGAGGCCTTGAGAGATCCCCCAGCCAACTCTGTATATGTTACCACATCTATTGGTGCTGTTGTTCAGCTCAGGTTTAGGCAGCCATGTTGGTGAGACTTCATGGGTCATCACTAGAAGACAAAATTTCTCAGCAAGATTCCTACATACTAAGGTCTCACAGGCTTTCTGCTATTGCTATTGTTCTTGTCAAGGAAACCTCTCCTTGCCAGGGACAGAGACCATTACAGTAAACCACAACCAATCAAATGCAGAGTTGGGGATCCACTCCAAAGGAACACATCTACAAAGCAACTCCTACACCTAAGACTTCAAGGAACATTGCAGAAGAGGGAGCAGATAGATTGTAAGATCATTGTTTTCTTATATATTTTGAGCCAAAAAGGACAAGCCATGAAAATAAATGTATATTTTAGTTTTAAAATATATACAAGTGACTTGATATGCAAAGGCAGGTTGATATCAATGGGAGGCCTTCCTTCTCTAAGGAAAAAGGGAGAGGAGAATGGGGGATGGGGAGGAAGGGACTGGGAAGAGGGGAAGAAGGGAAAATTGTGATCAGGATGTAAAGTAAATAAATAAATTAATTTTCAAACACTAATGAAATTGGGAAGAATCTCTAGGAAGTCCCAGAGACATGGGATTGGGAGAGGCTCCCAGGAGTCCATGCAAGTAACGTTAGCCAAGATGCCTAACAGTAGAAACACGGAACCTGAAGAGGCCACCTCCTGTAGCCAGCAGAAGGGTAAGACCATCAACCCACCCACAAAACTATTTAAAACTTGTCCTGTCTAAAAGAAATGCAGGAACAAAGATGGAGCAGAATCTGAAGGAATGGTCAACCAATAACTGACCCAATTTGAGACCCATCCCATGGTTAAGAACCAATCCCTGACACTATTAATGATACTGTTATACTTACAGACAGGAGCCTAGCATAACTGTCCTCTGAGAGTCTCTACCCAACAGACAGATGACTGAAACGAATGCAGATACACACCGCCAAATGTTGGTCAGAGGTTGGAAACTTTTATGGAAGAGTTGGGAGAAGGACTGAAGGCCCTGCATGGGATAGGAAGTCCACAAGACAACCAACAAGTCAACTAACCTGAATCCTTGGGAGCCACCAAGAAAAGAGAATACACAGGCTGGACGGAGACAACTGCTAACTATGTAGTAGATACGTAGTTCGAACTTCATTTGGATACCTAGTAACTAAAGTATGGACTGTCCCTAAAGCTGTACCCTGTTTGTAGAATGGGTTTCCCAACATGGTTCCCTTGTCTGGCCTCAGTGTGAGAGGATGTGCCGAATCTTGCAGAGGGTCTAATCTTGCCGAATCTCTAAGAGGAGCACCCTCTTAGAGGAGAAGGAGAAGTGGAGGGGAAATAAATAAATACTTTTAAAAACTAATGAAAAACTATATGCAAGTGGTAATAGATGAGTAACTGTGTACATTTGTAAAGGGACAGGTATGTGTTCATGTCTCCATGATGGGTTCCCCAAGAGATGGGACTAGGAAGAAAGAAAGAAGATGTGTGATTTGGAAGATTTTTTGTTTAATTTCACAAATATAGATGTAAATCAGGATCGTGTATGGTTTTCTTTTTACTGTTGTGGTATTTCTAGCATTTCCTATTTCTTAAAGAAAAGAAAGCCATCTTTAATTGGAAGGAGTAAAGGGCTAGAGACAAAAGTGTCCCCTGTGTAAGGAAGAAGAGAAAGGAGGAGGGGCTGTGCCAGAGACACCAGAACAGCAGGGAGACACAGGGAAGTGAAGAAATTCAGCGTCCAAAAGGAGAGCTCCCAGAGAAGATCTGCAGGAAACAGAGAGCTGGGGAAAGGCCAAGGTAACCCTGGTGCAAGAGCAGCTCACAGGAAGACATGGCAGAAGAGGAAGAACCAAATAGTGACGTAAATGGTACAGTTGATGGTTTTCTTGCAGGAATAGGAAAATCACCCTGAACCTCTCGGATTAGAAGTTTATTACTGGACGTGCAAGCACTGTTGTTCGGCTCCTGCTTGGGTGTTGCTGGTCTGTGGCCAATGCTAGAAATTACCAAGTCAAAGAAAAGTAAGTCAAGAAGGATGTGAATGCAGGGTGCTTTCCTAAGTTTGACAACTTAGATTGTAAATCATCCAAAGTGTCAGCTGGGCCAGGAAAGATGTAAGAAAGATGTGGATGGGAACTGATGGCTGGGAAAAAGGAAGGCAAAAAACAAAACAAAGAAAGGAAACACAACCCGTAATTCTGTAACTTTTTTATCAGCGCGGCTGGCATTTTGTACACTTCATCGGCGTTATGTCTCTACGGAGCCTGGTTTACAGTGAGTGAAACTCATACAAGTCAAATGAATAAGGAGACACAAATCATTGCCAGTGTGTTACCTTAAACTGTGGAGTGAGGTCTTGGAGACAGTGAGCAGATACGGAGTCCAAGACACAGCTGGATGAATCAGCTAGACAGGAAAGAGGAATCCACACACTGAGGCAGATGCAGATCTAAGCAAAAGGAGATGACTTCCCTCAGCATCTCAGTGACACTTGTGAGAGCACAAGGAAATTCACGACTGTGAATGCCCGTGGCATGGGGACAGGGTATACGCTGCACAGCAAAGCAGAAAGCCATGACCCTTCTCTCCAAATAGCATGTGGATTAGTCGTTTAACCTGTGCTGTAATCTGCTTCTGTAGTGGGATAGGAGCTCAGACTTGTAGGAGCCACAAGGAAAGCTAAAAGTTTTGCATTGTCAAAGGTGATTCTCTTTTCATTATCTGTTAGAATAGTCCAGGAAAATTACACTTAGCTGAGTAACTCCTAGCCTTTCAAAGGTCACACAGAAATATAATCTCCAACCTCTGATGCTTCAAGATGGCATTGACACTTTAATAATATGACGATCTACCTATACAAGCATCCTGTTAAGTTTTGCGTTAGATAATTTCCCCCCAATCCTGGCCAATATACAAGTTCTGAACATATTCGACAGGCAAGAAGAGGCTAGACTACGATGTTCAATAGGTATCTCTATTCAATTTATTTTTCTTAAAATACCTTAAGCTTAACAATGGGTTCATTGGGTTATAACTTGACCGCTAAGCCTGACCATATTCTGCCACTGGAGAGGGTACTTGTTTGTTTTGAAAATGAACGGACATTATATTATACATTCTCAAAGATAATTGTGAGCAAAGGCACACTTCAGTCATCGGAAGACTTCACAGTCTGTGCACAGCAGAGACACGCCCCACATACTCTGGAAACCAGGTGTAGATCATGGTTTAACTTGTGTAGGACACGATATTGAGTAGCTAACATTAAGCCCGTGCAGGTGCCTCTTCTAATGCAGGAGGATTATCCAAACGTCATAGGATTGTCAGTGGCTTCCTGAAGTGTGGCAGAAGGCCACTGATGGATGCAATTTGCCAGTTATTGCAAAGTGTCAATCAAATCAAAGAAAGAAAGGGCAATTTTCCAATGACTAGAAAAAAAATACTCATAGCTTGTTCAAAATAATCACAGTGGTCCTCTGACTTACAATAACAACGGGACACAATATTAATCAATGGCTTCAAACGTTGTCCACTTACCTGTTCATGGATAACCATTTGACCCCAGTAGCTGTTAGTTGTTTTTATTTTTTAATATTTTGTTTTGAAGAGAACATAGGGAGGGGTGTAAGAGGGAAAGCAGCGTTTTGTTAATACCAAAAACATAGTAGAATAGCATTCGGATGGTGCAGCTTATTTGAGGAGGTACATTCTGTATTTGTGGAAAGAGCAGGATCCTGGGTTCCTGAGGATACTGGTGCTTCTGTACTATTTTGATGTGGCTGGGCGTAAAGCAGAACCCTGGAAGTTTTGCCATGTTATAAAAAAAGAAAGCAAACCATCTTTAAGGGTCCCTGCTTAGTCTTTCTTGACCACTTTCCTCTGACTCCTCCTCCTTCTCAGGGAAGGTGTGATTCAAATCCCTAGAGCCCCCTCAAGTATTGTCAAGCAGCTGCTCAGTGTAGCTTGCTGGGAAATAAGGAAAGAAATTTGACACCGAGCCTCATCTTGGCTACTGTGAGAAATACCATCTTTGAGGTCACCGGACTTAAAGGGCATTTTTTTATTATTGTTTTGTCTATTTACTGGTACAGTCTAGATAGAAGAAGGTTCCCTGATCATACAAAACGGTTCCGGGGGAAATCAGAAATTTTCTCGTCCACTTCTTCTCTGCATTCTGATTCCCCCAACTATCTCTGTCACCTTGTAAAACTGGCAGACTCTGGACCTTTTGCACGCTGGAGAAAATCACTGTTTTGCCTCCAGCAAGGAACATGCATGTTGCAACACTGACTCCTCCTCTAGTGAAGAAAGAGCGAACAAGTGCACCGAGTTGAGCTTCTTCTCAGAGACACGCGGCTGGCGACTGCAGAGCAGAGGCTAAAATCCCCAGACGCCGGGTCTTCTGGGCTGGGCTTTCCCCGCCTTCCTGCTCTGTCTCACTCGCTCCCCTCCTGCGTTCTGGATTTTACAGTGGGCTCAGGAAACAGCTTTACCTGTCAGTGACAAAGCTCACGTCCTTTGCAGGAAGTGTTCAACCCCTGGTATGGCAGACTTTTCTCTACAGCAGCAGAAGTGAGTACTCAGGGCAGATCAGGCTACGCGTAGCCGGGGGTGGTACGGGCGGGCGCTCTCCAGGGCCGCAGGTTCGAGGCCGGGAGTGGGAGCGGAACAGTTGGTTGCAGGCGCGGACAGCTTGGGGAGATGCCAGCTAGCAGCCAGAGCCTGCAGGCGCGAGGAAATCCCATCCCGTGCTGTGAGCGTGCCTGAAGCCAAACCTTGATGTCCCTCTCCAGAAAAGCTACATATTATGCCAAGGTGCTTGGCCACCCACCCCAGCTTTTACAACCGCTCTCGGCGTATTTTAAAATATACCCTGCGAGCGCGCCCTTGCGAACGAGTTTCGGCGGCGTGATTGTGGGGTTGCAGGTGGTTGGTGTCGAAACGAAAAACTGGGGAGATAGCGGGGAGGCGAAAGGGCTCAGGCAGGAGACTTGGTGTCAGCTAACTTGGGCAGTCTCCTGCCGGCTGCACAGCTGGGTGCCAGGTGAAGGGACAGAGTCACCTGAGCTCCCACCCCCACTCCCTGAGGCAGCTGAGTGGTGGCTGGGCAGCGCGCTAGGAATTCAACCCCTAGGGCTAGAAGCAAGGACACTCTGCTGGCGCCAAGAGCAAAGGATCAGGGAACAGAGAAGGTTAGACTCCCAGAATCCTGACTCTGACTGCTGAGGCCGGGGAAGACAAGGGCTGTAGTTATATAGAAATATATCCTGTTAGTGACCTCTACCTGTGTGGTAGGGAAACAACCCATGCTTCCTTAATAACAACAAGCAACTTGGGGTTTCCTGTGATTGAAATTGAAAATGTTTGCAACCTGTTATTAATCTCATGGGGAGGTGGGAGCGTCCTTTGGTCTTCATTCATGGAATTGGCTGGAAAAGATTTCCCACCAGAGCGTCTTGACCAATCCTCGCTCTGCCTCCCGTGGCTTTGCAATCGTGGGTGTTCACCTTCTGGCCTCAGTTTCCTCTGCGTACATTTAGGGAAACTGATCGCTTTTGCTGCAAGTGCTTAATGGAACAGAGATGCTGAGTAGAACACGAAACGGGAATATTTTGATTTTTTGTTTCAGTGGCTTTTTTTTTTCAAAGTAGGAGTTCTTTTTGAGAACTGATCTTGAGTCATTTCCCCAGGGAAGAAATTGTACTTAAGGAACAGATGAAGGATTTTATATGGACATCCCTTGTTGATCATGCCTGAAAATCCCTTGTCTTTGAGGATGCTGCGTCAGGACACATCCCACCAAGCTTTTGCTGGTGACTGTGCTAGGTGTGAGAATAACTGGTAGTGTCGTGAGGGTCTAAAGCAAAAGCTCTGCAGGGAGAGATGGCACTCCTTCCGAGCAGAGCCACACAGTGTATATCCTCTATGGCCTCGTCAGTCTCTGTGCTTCCAAGGGACCTCTCCTCTCAAATCTTAATGGCGGACCCTAGAGCAGTGGTTCTCAGCCTTCAATGCTGGAACTCTTTACTACAGTTCCCCATGTTGTGGTGACCCCAAGCCATAAAATCATTTTCATTGCTACTTCATAACTGTAATTTTGCTACCGTTATGAATCTTAACACAGATATCTGTTTTCCGATGGTCTTAGGTGACCCCTATGAAAGCATTGTTTGACCACCAAAGAGGTCGAAATGTACAGGGTGATAACCACTACCCTGGAGGTTTCTATCCACAAACAGCTCTGGAAAGTAGCCTATGGAGGGGACTGGGGGTCAGTGTCCACATAAACCAATGCCCTTGAGGGCAGCTGGCTGGGTGTCAGAGAGCAGGGCCAAGGCTTGGTTGGAAACAAAGCTTGATTTGCTTCCCAAGCACAGGGTGACTAGATATTTTGGGCATATTTACTTTGTATGGAGCATTGGTTCAGAGCAAAGGTCTAGAGCATCAGAAAGGTTGGAGAACCACTGGTTTAGAGGAGTCTCATACCTTCTAGTAACTGGAGTCTTCTGCCAACAGTGCAGGAGATACATAGCAGAAAGCAGGAGGCATTGGGGCACATGAGGCTGTGCTTCAAGTTGTACCTACAATTCAGCAAGTCACTGGAGTTCTCTGAGCCTCCCTTTTCCTGGCTGCAAGATGGAGGGAATAATTTTGCTTTTGTGTGTGGTTGCTGAGTAAATACCTCACACCTGACCCGTGTTCAGTGATCAACTGTTCTCATTAATGTTAATGTGACATTGCAAGTGCCCACTGGTCTCATGGTTTTTAGAACAGCTCACTGTCTATCCTATGGGGCTTACATTACCAGGAGACTGAGTGACACCAGCTCATTAGTCTCTAAGATGAGAGAGAGGGGTTCAGAATGCAGGGTCAAGTTTACTCTCTCAGCTTTGCTATGGCAAGCAGAACTCTGTGTATTGGCAACAAATAAACCACTTCTCAGATTGGCATGGATTCTCAGCCTTTCTTTCTGGTCCTTTTTTGGCCTATGATTTTTTTCATAAAAAAAAAGCCATCTTTGCTTATAGCTATAAGCAGTTGAGTATGAAACCAGAGAAGTCCCCCAGACCTATCTCCAAATGCACTACAAATTGTCTCTGTCAAGATGAATGGCTTTATTGCTATGTTTCATTGATAGGTACAAGTTAAGATTTCGACACAACTTAGAGTCTCCTTCACCTCCCTAGCTTCTCAGGTTCAAGTAGAAGACAGCATCACACCTTAAAAAGAAGGAAATTGCATATGTGCAAAGTAGGAAAGATTGATGTTCTTCCTGTTCTTTAGAGTGCTTGCATGCAAAGATGGTAATATTGATACTTGCCACTGAACCTTTACAGAACAGTGTATGAAATACTTCCACTCAAATAATCCTCACAGAAACACTGAAGGTAAGAGTTATCATGTAAAGTTTTACTGACGAGGAAAATGAGGACTACAAGCATTTACTTAATTTACTCAGCCCACACATTTTGGTAGGATCCCTGGTCTGTCTGACTTTGACATCCATTTAATTCCCCATTATCTACTGCTGCCAACCTTCCCGATATCAGAGCGCATTGCAGTTTGCCAACTGGACTTGGGTTATTCTCAAGGGCAGGGACAACCACATGTGGTGGATGGTTTGAAGTGACATGAACAGATACTATTCTTGTGGTACATATTAATGGTTAGCAACAACAAACCACTTGTGGATAGTAATTTTCCTGACTCTTCCCGAGTTCAGCTGGTAAATTTCAGAGCGATGGCATTCAGTACCGGCAGATGAGGCTGAGGCTGGCTGGCTGTCACTTCCTGGAAAGTTCGTTCAGGTTCAAAGAACTCTGGGACTTTTATTTTCTACTAGTTTTTGTGTCGAGACACTAGTTACATTTGCTTCTGGTGTTAAGGATTCATTCATTCATTCATTCATTCATTCTATTGTGTGTGTGATGGTACAAGGGCAGAGAAAGCAGAAATCTAGGTTTTGTGGAGCGTCTATGTGAGGAACAAAGGTAGTTAACAAGTAGGTGAAGAAACACATGGAGATCGTTCAGGGTCTGGTGAGACAGCCACATGGGTAAAGACGTTTGTCATGAAAGCCTGGAGACCTAAGTTCAGTCAATGGAACCCATCAAATGTAGAAGAAAATAATCAAGTGTACAAAATTGTCTTCCGACCTCCACCTAAATGTAGCGGTGCACATGCCCACAAGCATACATAGCATGGACAAAAATAATGATGACAATAAACAAATCTGTCTTAAAGGTCATTCCAGATATTGACAAAGTCTATGAAGAAAACACAAAGATTACAGACTCCGATGGGGTTCTTGAGTACTTCAAATGAAGCTAATCCCTAGAGAAAGGCACTTGCTTTGTAAAACACTCTAAATTCCAAACATGTAGCACCCCATATGCAGAAAAAGCAAATTCGTTCCTAATCTTAGTTTATGTATAAAAACTGTAGATTTTATATCAACTGGCTTAGGTGAAAAAATAATCAAATTTACCTACGAGCTTTCAATTTGTTTTAATGTGGCTTAATAGCAATTTTAAATCACATTACCTACTGACTTTCATTCCGTTTGCTTGACACAGCACTACTTAAGACTGATACTTGTCTAAGATATAATAGAAATAGCCTCCTTCCCCTTTCTCCTGGACATATCTTTATTTCTCTAGGTTTGGCTAACATTCTTCTCATGTCTGCTCCAAATTCATTCACTTGATGAATTAAGAGAAAAAAAAAAAACCTCTGTCCAATCCCTAATGCTCAGAGTATGCAGGTTGATATAGCTAAAGCCAATCCACTCATGTTGGTATTAGATTTGATGAAATTGACTCTGTGGCTTGTCACTAGGGTACAGTCCCTTGTATAGGGAAATCTCAAGAAGCTCTTCCACAAAATCCAATGACCAAAAGAACATCTAAAAAATAATTAAAAAACTGGATTTACAGCTTTATCTTTAAATTGCTTCCTAAGATAAAGCGTTTATATCTTGTAGCACTTTGGAAAGCCAAGGAGATGATAGCTAGGATTTCACACACATGTGCAAAGTTCTTTGGGTCATCTCCTGTGACGATAAGTGTGTTTCTCTTACTGGTTTCTTGATTAAAACAGCTGGAACAAGATGCAGCCTGGATCTCTAGAAGGCCAGCAGCTCCAGGAGCATCACAGAAGGCTGCCTTTAGTTTCTTTGTTCACTAGCTAAAATGGCACTTGGGCATGTCACCGAAAGAAAGAATTTGTTCCTGTAGTTCCATTTACTGCAAAGAAAAGGACAGTCAGATGCTACAATATGAGGAGGCCTCTGGCTTGGGAGGTTAAGCATCCAGAGTCTAAGATTGTCTTGTCTTCTGGTTAGAGTATTATCCACTTTCTTTCTTCCAATAATACCAGAATAAGTTTAGACTTGACATAATAATGGCACAGAAGATGATAATGGAGAAATATGCTATAAAAATCATCCTGGTTATATTACTGATGGACTGAGCCCTGCTAGACTCTGTAACCACTTACCAGCAAGGAAATATTTTCTTTATGTAGATAGAGCAGAACAAAATACAAAATGCCCTTTGGGGCATACAAATACC